ACACTTGCCACTTGCTATTCTATGTGGTACTACCACACTAGCATCCCTTTTATACCTGTAAAAATAAAAAGTCCTTGTATGACTTGAATGCCCCTTATATATAATTGGAAGACACACCACCTATCCATCCAATCAGGTAGGCCCTTACACTACATAGCTGATGGTAGATCTAATGAATATTGTACAGATAGATTGTATAGTGTATGGTGAGCTTAAGGCTGCATTCACAATTGAGCATTTTGTAGTTGGAAGCTCGAAGCTCCAAAAAAGCTCAAACTTAAAAAAATCAATTGTTCTCTATTGTGCCTGTTCACACCTGATCATGCAAACATACACCATAGAGAACAATTGATTTTTGAAGTTTGAGCTTTTTTGGAGCTTCGACCTTCAAGCTACAAAAACGCTCAAGTGTGTATGCAGCCTTAAAGACTTCCAGAGACAGACTTCTCCTGTTTTCAATACTAGAGCTCTGCTCCACATATTGTAGGCTGTTATCTGATTGCTCAGCTCCTGCACACACTCTGCCAAATGAATGATATATGCAAGATTATTATTATACAGGATTTATATAGTGCCAACAGTTTGCGCAGTGCTTTACAAAATGAAGGTAGACAATATAATTTGGTACAAGAGGAAACAGAGGGCCCTGCTCGTTAGAGCTTACAATCTAGGAAATGAAGGTAAAGTAGAAAAAAAAATAGATGTCTGTGTAATTAGTGAGAACAGTAATCATTGATTGCATGGGAAAAGCATGTATCTGTAGATGTAAATGGAAACAATCTCCTGGAAGGGCAGGGAAGGTGCAGGGTGTGTTACTGAGGTCTGCTGCTGAACTCCTTTCTTTAGCTGGCCATACACCATACAATTTCCTTTAGATTTACCTTCAACTATGTAGTGCAAGGGCCTGCCTAATTGGATACAATTGAAAGTGTTGTTTAGGTTTGACCTCATATTATATGGCTTTTGGTAAATTTAAAGCAAAATTCTAAAGAAAACTGTATAATGTATAGCCATCCTTTGTCTTAATAGTTTTCCCAGCTCTCTAGGAAGAAATGGAGAAGATGTTTTTTATACAACAAACTGGATGCTGAGGTAATGCCTGATCTAGGACAAACAGAAAACAATTTCATTTTTGCAAAAAAAAAAAAGGTACATTAATGCACATTCAAAATCCCAAATCACAAGAACAATGAACCCAGACAAATCCACCAAGACATACCCATATCATTGAACCTATGATCCTACAGATAAATCCTAGGGTTTTGCACAGCTGTAGAGACTCCTCTCTTGTACTTACTGTACACTGTGAGCATCCCATGATATGCATTAGAAGCTGAAGCAAGTCAGAGAGAGCCTGTTTCATGTCCAGGCTTAGGGACATCCAGCAACATCTAGCTGTTATTTCCCTAGCCAAGTAATCCTTACCTTGCTCAGCATCACATGTGGGTGTTACCAGGGGCGGTCTGCAAATGCAGACTGCCTAGGAATATCAACTCTTCCAGACTGACATCCGTCCATCAAGGCATTTTGATATTTGCATAACCCCTCCCAAGATCAATCCTACTCTTTGCATCAGGGCTTAGGGAGTACTGGCCCCTCCTACCAGCCATGGACTTCCAGCATTGCATTGAGAAGAACAGGGTTTATTTAAAAATGTCATTAGTATGCTGATGAAAGAAGGAGGGAGCAACAAGTACAGGCAAAATATATGCACTTCAGCTTTAATTATGTGTATACAGACTACAAGTGGCATAATTGATTCAGTGATAACTTGCAGGCATGGAGCATGTGTGATTGTTAGAACCCATTATAATCATTCCTCCTTGGTGATGAAAGCTTGCTTCTCTTTTTCATAGCAAGAAACAATCTTTTCATTACTCATTTACCTGAATCAAGGAGACAAGTCACTGTGGATCCAGTGATGCACAAATAAACACAATGAAAGAAAAAAGTCTCACTGGCCATAATTATGAGATATGTATATCTATCTGTTGGCAACCGCACATAGAAGTTTGGCTCCTTTTAAAACTCCTGTGCAGCCCCCTATGCCTAGAGTTCTTTTGATGAGTTTAGCAACTAATGCCGGGAGTTATCGAAGCGAGGGAAACACAAAAATGCAATATTTAAATTTTGAGGCTTGGTGCTGCATCTTTAGCCCTGATGCCTTAGGTAATGTTCCACAAGTGTCCTTTGTTAAAACCAGCCCTGCACTGGGTATGACCAAACATTTCCAGACACCAATCTTCCTGGCAGCAAGGTTTCAGCTTCAGCAAATGGTTCTCTGATATTATCTGATAATGTCACACCTGATAATGTCAAATGTTTGACGAAATGCGTTGGGCAGTGCTTAAAGTGACATCACCATGCACAGCGGCCACTGGCTGGAAGGAACCCATTTTGTAGATGTTAACCACCTCCTGCACAGCCTATGGTCAAATAACGGCCGGGCAAACATCTTGTCCCTCCGAGAGGGCGTCATATGATGTCCTTCCCGGATCGTGCTTTGCGTGTGCCCCCAGTGTCGTGCTGTGGCGAGATCTGTCACCGGCCCTGTACCTCGGACACGGCCGATGAGAGATTTGTGTAGCAGGCCCATTGCCAGTACCATGTGACCTGCTGTGACCAATCACAGCAGGTCACATGACAGTTGTATACAATGGATGGCTTCCTTTAATGCCAACCATTGTACACAAGTGTGTCTAGCTGTGAATGGTCACAGTGATCATGCCAATTACAGCCCATCTGGGTCATGTGATTAGCCGTGGCCAATCACAGCTAATCACAACAAAAAAACCCTGAATGAATCGATTTCCTTCAGTTAAATGCTTGCTTATAGCAAAGAAATTCTTTGCTATAAGCAATCAATTGTGTAAAAAAATAAATAAAATACTGATCACTCCCCAAAGTAGTACAATGTTACTATGGTAACATTATACTACTTTGGTCATAGTGTAATATGACAAAAAAAATCTTAAAAAAAAAAAAAAAAAATATAAAGAAATAATTAAAAAAATAAATTATCATTTTCAGTGTCCCTGATTACTGCCACACCAGTTATATGCTGATGCTGAACTGCACTGGTTAAAAAAAATTGTGAAATTTATTTTTTTAATTTCTTCATTTTCCTAAAAATTATGACAAAAAATTCAATGTCAAAAAAACTCTCCATGCCTCTAATGAAATACATTGGACTGTCTACTTTGCAAAAAGGGGTCATTTGGGGGATATCTTTACTGTTCTGACATTTTTGGGCCTTAAGAAATTAGAGTGGCTGTCAATACTTCAGGATTGATCAATTTTCAGATATATCCCATAGTTTGTGAACTCTATAATTTTCCTACAGACTAAATAAAAAATACTGATTTGGGTTATTTTCACCAAAGACATGTAGCAGAATACATCTCGGCCTAAATTTATGAAGAACAATTATTTATTTGCAAACGTTTATAACAAAAACAAAGAAACGTGTTTTTTTTTTCAAAAGTTTTGGTCTTTTTTTGTTAATTTAGCAAAAAATAAAAACCCCAGCGGTGATTAAATACCTCCAAAAGAAAGCTCTAGTTGTGTGAAGAAAATGATACAATTTTAGTTTGGGTACAGTGTTGCATGACCGCGCAATTTTCATTCAAAGTGTGAGAGCTCTGAAACCTGAAAATTGGCTTGGAAATGCGCACACTTAACAGTGGTGCATGTCAATATATGCCCAATGCTCCTGTACACCTTTTGTCGTGAGAGAGAGTGTGTGTGTGCGCATTAAAGTGGAATTTCACCCTCTCAATCAGCATTGACTATTTTTAATCCTTATGCTGCTAGCAGTAGTAAATAGATAGGAAAGTATATCATATTTACTTGTTTTAGACTCTTTAGTTTACATTTCTTCATTTACTTCCTGGTTTCCATGCCTAGGCAAATGATGTCATACACCCCAGGAGTTTTCAGGAGGAGAGGCTTTCTCAAGTAAACACACCCTCCTGCATGCTATACACGTATATACACGTGATGTTGCATCTCCGAGTAGGGGACACATGTACGCCACGCACGCTCTACCCGCGCCACTGTTGGCGGCTTCAGCTGTTGATCACCGGGTCCTGGCCGGAGATTCCCCACCGGCACCCGGCGATCCCGAGGAACACTGACGGGGGAAAGGTCTGTATGTAAAGAAGCAGAGCAATACAAAGCAGCATGCTTACACTGTAAAACACACACATAGCACACAGTAAAACAGCACACAGCACACAGTTAACCCTTTGATCGCCCCACATGTTAACCCCCTCCTGAACAGTGTCTTTAGTACAGTGTTAGTGCTTTTTATTAGCACTGATCACTGTATTAGTGTCACTGGGGATGTCAGTGACCGTTAGTCAGTCGCTGATCATGGTCATTACTAGTATGAAAAAAAAACAGCCATTTGTAGACGCTATAACTTTCACGTAAACCAGTTAATTTTCATGTATTGGGATATTGGGATTTTTTTTAGCAGACATGTAGCAAAATACATTTTGGCCTGAATTTATGACAAAACTTGATTTTTTTAAATTTTTTTACTGGACATGTTTAAAAACCACTTGCCTACCGGGCACTTACCCATGCCCAGGCCAATTTTCAGCTTTCAGAGCTGTCACAATTTGAATGACAATTGCGCAGTCATGCTACATTGTACCCATATGAAATTTTTATCATCATTTTTACACAAATAGAGCTTTCTTTTGGTAATATTTAATCACCGCTGGGTGTTTTATTTTTTGCGCTATAAACAAAAATAGAGCAAATAATTTAAAAAAAATTTCTTTGTTTCTATTAGAAAATTTTGCAAACAGGTACTGATGTGCATTGATGAGGCTGCACTGATAGGCAGCACTTATGGGCACTGATAGGTGGCACTGTTGAGGTGGCATGGATAGGCAGCACTGATGGGCACTGATAGGCAGCACTGATAGATGGCACTGATAGACGGCACTGATGAGCTGGCACTGATGCTGCTGCACTGATATGCAGCAATGATGGGCACTGATAGGCAGCACTGATGGGCACTGATAGGAGGCACTGATGGGCAGCACTGATGGGCACTGATGTGTGGCACTGACTAACGGCACTGACTGGCGGCACTGCCGGGCACTAACTGGCGGCACTGCTGGGCACTGATGGGTGGCACTGCTGGGCAGCATTGATGGGTGGCACTGCTGGGCAGCACTGATGGGTGGCACTGCTGGGCACAGGTGGGTGGCACTGGTAGGCACTGATGGCCACAGGTGGGTGGCACTGCTTGGCAATTGTGGGTGGTACTGCTGGGCACAGGTGGGTGGCACTGATGATCAGTGCCGATCTGTTTTCTGACAATTGCAAGTTATTGCTGTGACAGCATGAAGAAAGTGCAGTTGATAACCGACAACTGCATTTACCTAGTGATTGGCTGTGTCATTGAACACAGTGATTGGCCTTTTACCACATCACAAGATCAGCTGTGTCTGTAGGACATGGAGACCACCAGGTGCACGCCACTGGGGGCGCATGGGAGAGCACATTCTTGGAGGACGTCATATGACGCTCTCCCAGAACTGGACAACCACGCTGTAGCCTTCATTCAGCTATAGTGTGGTTGCCAAGTGGTTAATAGCAAAAAATTCAAAAATCTTGTTTTTTTCTCAAAATTGTCGGACATAAATTTAATTTGGTTGTAGCGTTGCATGACCGTGCCACTGTCAGATAAAGTAATGCAGCGTCGTATCACAAAAAATGACCTGGTCAGGAAAGGGGGTAAATCCTCTGGAGGGCAAATGGTTAAAGTAACACAGCACCGTTTCGCAAAAAATGGTCTGGTCAGGAAGGGGGATAAATCATCTGGAGGGCAAGTGGTTAATCTTCTGCCCTTACTCAAGATGGCCACGGCCAAAAATGCTAGGGGGGTTCAAAGTGATTTCTCTCTAAAATAAAGCATAGAGACATGGATGGGTGAGGTTGCTCTGAATATTAAAAATGAATTAAAAAGTAGTTTTGGTTTGTGGCGCCCAAATGAAGTGTAGTTCTGCTTTAACCTGATAAAAGGGACCTGTAATGTTCCAAAGTGTTGTGCCTGTAATGTGATCTACAAGATGTTTAGACACAGAGTCTGGACCAGGCGCGGACTGACCATTTGGAAACTCGGGCACTGCCCGAGGGCCCGGGTCAGTAGGGGGCCCCATGAGATGCCCCTGGTACCTTTTTCATAGGCTTTTTTGAGTTTGGGCAAGGACACAGGGGCCCCATGATCCCCTATTGCCCGGGGGCCCCATGAGTTGTCAGTCCGCCCCTGGTCTGGACTTTATTCAAAGACCCAAGGTGTGCTGAAACAACATATCTTAGACTATGTCTACAATGCAAATTGACAACAGCCACAGCACTCTAGACATGTCTACAATGCACCTTTGGAGGACGATTCAAGCAAGGTGTGCGGTGGGAATATTTGAAATATAAGTGTGTACTTTTGCATAAATGGCAGATGCTCAAGAGATTTGTGAGCGCTTACATCATTTAATAACAAACCACTGCAATTAAATGTGTATAGATAGTAAAGGATGTACAAAGACACTAAAGCTTTGTGAAGAAAATAAACATGGTCTATTGACTGAGTATATTTTTGTACGTATCTTCAAACCACGATCACACGCTAAGAAAGCAATATAAATATATACTAGCTCATATAAACTATATGAGACATAATTTTGATTTAGCAGTGTTTTTACCAAATAAAAGACAACAGCAAAATCTTCCGGAGTAAAGGCTGTTTCATCTTCAATAAAAGCTTTCTTTCTAAGCAGGTTTAATACCACTGGTTTCTGTTTTTGAAGGAATTAGATGTAAAACTATTTTCCTGCTTTTTGGTTTCCTTTGTCTTGTGGTATATTGCTCCCACAGCACCATTATAATGAAAGAAGCTTGCTGAAAAACCCAGACGACAACAAACAAGCAAAACACTTAAAAAGGAGGATCTGAGGATCAATGGCTTGATGAGGTTTTACAATAGCATTAGACGAATCCTTTAGAAGCTCTAGATCTCATCAGACACATATAAAACATTCACCTTAGGAAAATGTACAGACTTGTTTACAGAATAAGGTATAATTAATTGAAATGATGGCTTTGCGCATTGTGGGAGAATTAAAACACCTACACTTACTGTCTTCCTGTTCTGGATGTAAATGAGTTTGTACATATCTGACAGTAACAGATAGCTGTATACTCTGTGAGGTTTGTATTGATTCGTCATTTGAAGAAGGGATTTAGAAAGTACGACAGCTGATTTGTGGACTATCAGTCCCTTGAAAGACATATTTTTTTTTAAATGCCTGTATATTGTTAAAGTATATGTGATCCCTCACCTTGTAAAACAACCCATTACGTTTACAATAGAAATGAAAGGCAAAACATTTGTTTGTAAATATAAAAACATTATTATTATTATACAGGATTTATATAGCGCCAACAGTTTGCTCAGCGCTTTACAATATAACGGGAGACAATAAAGCAACAATACAGTTCAATACAAGAGCTCCTTGGAGCTTACAATCTAGGATACATTTTTTCTCTTTTTTATAAGTGATCACATACCCTCTGTTCTCAGCTGCATAAGCAGCTCAGAGAGCTGAGAGAAGAGAAACAGCAGCACAATGGTCTTCCCAGTGAATGGTTGTGCAGGTAGGGGGAGTGCCAGGACAAGCCTGGTCATTTTAAAAAAGCAGGCTGAGTTCTCAGCACAGCTAGAGAACTGATCACACTGTGCTCTCATGCCTAGTGTGGTCGTTTTTTTAATAGGAAAGCAGAGGGACTGATAGAAACACCAGGTATTTCACACAAAGGAATACAATGCAATTTAAATACAATGAGAACAGGATACTTTTTTATGCAAATAAATGTTACTGGAGAACAGAAAAAGGGCGCACCGACCTAGCACTCTTCCTATAAGTGTAAGTGTTTACACATTTATTATATTTATTATATGTTTTTCTAATATAGTTCATGATCATTATTTAATTAATTATTATTATTATTTTTTTTTGTTCAATTTTGATGCTAACGGGTCATTTGATGTCAGGCTCCGCCTTCAGGTGGTTCCGTTACAGCCCTTTTGTTATCATTTAGTAACTTATATAAAGAGAAGTGCAGACTCCTCCTGTAGTGTTGGTTCTGAGGAAGAGGTTGTGTCCTCGAAACGCGTTAGCCAGTTGGTCATCCAGGGTTCCATCTTATGGACTCAGATGTTGTTTGGATCATACATCTTGTTCAGTTTGACATGCCTGTGTTTTTATATCTATTGTGAGTATGATACTTACTTTGTTTCTTCAATAAATATTTTAAACGATAATGCACTAGGTCGGTGCACCCTTTTTCTCTTTCTCCATTTGCATCCAGTGTATTTGGACCACCCCGGTCTGTTGAGGGCAGCAAGCAGTGCATATTCCAGAAAATTCCAGAACATCCCTATTGGGTCTACTGAGTCTTTTCCTAGCGCAGGAGAAAAGTGTTTGTTGTGTTAAATAAATGTTACATCAGGCCCAATAAACTGTAAGTTGTATGAGAAATGTTTATAGCAGGAGTCTTCATATGTTTGAATCAAAGGGCCAGTTTACTGCCTTCAAAATTTAGGGGGGCTGAACTGTGGCCAGTGGGAGTAGAAAATGCCTTGGCATTTGGTGGGAGTAAACAATGATATAGGCTTGGTGGTCAGTGGGAGAAAAAAAAATACATTATTGGTGTCAGTGGGAGGAATAGTCCCATATCTGGCTTCCACCCCCTACACTCCACCAAAACTGTCCTACTCAAACTCACCAATGACCCACTAACCGCCAAAACCAATGGCCACTATACTATACTCCTACTACTTGACCTCTATGCGGCTTTTGACAAGGTTGACCACCCGACCCCAGCTAATACTGGAATCCCCTACTCCTCCTACCACTCCATCCCCCAACAGCTAATTACCTCTTGTGCCACTATCCCTTCCCTCCTAGATTGTAAACTCCAAGGAGCAGGGCCCTCTAATCCCTCTTGTATTGAACTGTATTGTTACTGTACTGTCTCCCTCCATAATGTGAAGCACTGAGGAAACTGTCTGCGCTATATAAGTCCTGTATAAATAATAATAATAATATCATTGGTGTCAGTGGGAGAATTCGTTTTTTTATCTCTGTTGTCAGTGGGAGGAATAGTACCCCATTGTTGGTGTCAGTGGGAGGAATAGTGTCTCATATCGGTGGAAGGAATAGTTGCGGCCATGGGATCACACTAACTGCTGAACATTGCCAAGCTATCTCAATACAATGGGGTTGGTTTACTAAAGTCAAATAGACTGTGCACTTTACTAGTGCACTTGCACTCATTTTCCCCAGAGCTTAGTGAATGTGGTGAAGCTCTGCTCATCTTCATCATCCAATCATGTGCAAATAAAATGCTGCTTTTTTATTTCCCTTGCACCTGACTGAGTATTCTTTACAAAGGAAGCTTCACCACATTTACTAAGCTCTAGGGAAAATGAGTACAACTGTACTTGCAAAGTGCACAGTCTCTTTGCTTTTAGTAACCACAGAGTCTACATAACAATTTTGAGTCCATTAAAGCAGATTCTATATATTTTAAGCCCAGATGAAGGGGATGGCATGATCTTCAAAATAATTTGGGTGCAGCACCTAATATACTCTTGGAATAAAACCCCAGTTTGGACTCTAATACTGCTCAAACATTGCTTCCGAATTCCGAGGTTGTTGTAGTAGTTCCTCAGTTCACAGCCCACTTATCACCCAGACTCCTTCAACTGAATACCATCAGTACGGTTTTGGCAAATGTGCTAATAGTAGAATAGAATTATTTACCTAAGTTTCCAGTGCCATCAATCTAACACTTCATATAGCACAATGAGACAGTGCAGAGTGGTTACAAAGTACCTTGAAAATTGCTTACTTCTGTTAGAAAAGCCAACCCCATCCAAATTTCCATCAGCATGGGACCCAATCAAGATTTGACAGTTCACCCAATTGCTGCTGTCAATTGTAAAAGCAGAAGCCAGCAGAGGAATTCTTCAACTACTCCTTTCCAATACCACACTGTGCATTAGATGATGTAATTTGTAATCTGGTCAGAGGCGTACTTACAGGGGTTACAATTGTGACCTGGCCCCATGCTGTAGGGGGCCCATGTACCCCACCTATATGCCTGGATAGGAAGAGCAGAGGGGGCAGCTGCATATAGAGGAACTGTTCTCCCCATGTTCTTCCTGCAGCCGCTGAATGCCTGTAGGAGGGAGAGGAGAAGAAGCTGGCATTCAGTGGCTGCAGGAGGAACATGGAGAGATCGGTTCCTTGATATGCAGCCACCACCGCCGCTCCTCCATCCAGCATTTTTCTGCTGCCCCTGTGTGCTCTCCAGCCCCCCTGAGCTCTTTCCTGGCCCTCTCCTGCCCCCCCTCCCCCACAGGGTCCCCCCCCCCCCCCTCTCTCTTTGGCTGCTGCAGGGATCTGTCAGCATGAGGAGCGAGGAAGGGGCCTGAAAATATGTCATTTACTGTCCCATTCCTTTTCCGAATGGAGAGTCAGTGATGTTTCAGTTTGTGAATAGAGGGGAAACTGTACAGAGCTATTGTTGTCCATTCACTTGTTCATTCATCATTTTTTTCTTTATTTTTCAAACACTTGTGGCAACAAATGCTCACCATGCCCCTTAGCAAATACCTTGGAGTGTCTACTTTCTAAAAATGGGTAATTTGGGGGGGGGGAGTTCTACTATCCTGGCATTTCAGGGCCAACATTAGAAGTCTATGCCACACATCACCCACTCTTCTAACCACTTGAAGTCCAATCCTTTATTGACACTTTTTGCTTTCATGAAAAAACATTTTTTTTTTTTGCTAGAAAATTACTTTGAACCCCAGCAGAGGGCCTAGAGAATAAAACAGTGGGTGTTGTCATTTTTTTTATGTCACACAGTATTTCCTTAGGCCCTTTCCTTATCTGAATAGACAGTGATCCGTACCGATCACTGACTCTGTCCATTCATAAGTTAAACATAGTAAACTGTGTTTACTATGTTTCAGTTTGTGAATAGAGGGGAAACTGTGTACAGAGCAGGGGCGGACTGACAACTCATGGGGCCCCCGGGCAATAGGGGATCATGGGGCCCCTGTGTCCTTGCCCTAACTCAAAAAAAGCCTATGAAAAAGGTACCAGAGGCATCTCATGGGGCCCCCTACTGACCCTGGGCCCTCGGGCAGTGCCTGAGTTTCCAAATGGTCAGTCCGCCCCTGGTACAGAGCTTATCTTGTTCATTCACTTGTCCATTCATACTGTGCAGCTGAAGCTGCAGAGATGGAGATTGAGGGCTGTGTCTGTTTAGACCCCTGATAACTCACCAAAGCCCCCCAACGGGGCTGCTAAAAAAATGTAAAAAATTATTTTAAAAAATTTGTAAAAAAAAAAAAAAATAAATAAAAAACTACTGACACCAGTGGAGGAACTGCCAGGGTCACAAAGGTTGCATTTGCAAACGGGCCCTAACATTCTGCCACCAGGTTCAGAGGGAAGGGCCCTGGCCAAGGGTCAGGTGGGGCCCTTCATGGTTTTTCTTGCACCGGGGCCCTGAAGGTTTTAGTTATGCCACTGAATCTGGTTATATTGTAAAATACCTTTAAATGATGCTGGATCATTCTTCTTGCTGCCTCACACATGTATAAGCCAGGTATAAAGAAGTGCAAATATTAAAACAAGTACCAATCAGATTCAAACATACAGTGGGGAAAATAATTATTTGATCCCCTGCAAATTTTTTTGCCCACTTATAAATAAATGATGGCTCTATACTTTTTATCATAACTGTCTTTTAAATGATAGCGACAGAATATCAACCAAAAATCCAGAAAAAATATATGATACAAATGTAATAAACTGAGTTGCAGTTCAGTAAGTAAAATATGTATTTGATCCCTAAACAAAACATGACTTAGTACTTGGCGGGGAAACCCTTGTTAGCAAGCATAGAGGTAAGACCTTTCTTGTAGTTGGTTACCAGGTTTGCACACATCTCAAGAGGGATTTTGGTCTACTCTTCTTTACAAATCTTCTCAAAATCCTTAAGGTTTCTTGGCTGTCGCTTGGCAACTCAAAGTTTCTGCTCCCTCCATAAATTTTTTATAGGATTAAGGTCTGGAGATTGGCTAGGCCACTCCATGACCTTACTGTGCTTCTTGAGCCACTTCTTTCTTGCCTTGGCAGTATGTTTTGAGTCAATGTCATGCTGGAAGACCCATCCAAAACCCATCTTCAGTGTTCTGGAAGACGGAAGAAGGTTCTCATCTAAGATTTTACAATACATGGCCCCGTCCATTGGCCCCTCAATGCGACAAAGTTGGCCTGTACCTTTAGCAGAGAAAGCATAATGTTTCCACCTCCGTGCTTGGCTGTAGGGATGGGGTTGTTAGGGTCATAGTCAGCATTTTTCTTCCTCTAAACATGGCAAGTCAAGTTAATGTCATAGAGCTCAATTTTGGTTTCATCTGACCACAACACTTTCTCCCAATCCTTCTCTGAATCATTTAGATGTTTATTGGCAAACTTCAGATGGGTCTGTATATGTGCCTTCTTGAGGAGTTGATCTTGCGAGCGCTGCAGGATTTCAATCCATGGTGGTGTATTGTTTTACCATTACCAATGGTTTGTTTGGTGACTGTGGTCCCAACTGCCTGGAGATCATCCACAAGCCCCTCCTGTGTATTTCTGGGGTGATCCTCACTTTTCTCATGATCATCCTTACCTCATGAAGTGAAATCTTGCATGGAACTCCAGACTGAGGGTGATTGATGGTTATTTTGTATTTGCCTTTGCGGATAATCACTCCAACAGTTGTCTCCTTCTCACCAAGCTTCTTGCTGATGATCTTGTAGCCCATTCCAGCCTTGTGCAGGTCTAAAATCATGTCCCTGATGTCCTTTGGCAGCTCTTTGGTCTTGTCCATGGTGGTGCCCAAGAAAGAGATTCTGTGGACAGGTGCATTTTATACACATAACGAGTTGTCGTAAGAAGCACCTTCTTAAAGTGACAGGACTAACCTGTGTACCAGTCTGTTGGAGCCAGAATTATTGTTGGTTGGTAGGGGATGAAATACTTGTTTTACTCACTGAACTGCAATTCAATTTACAAAATTTGTATGTGTTTTTTGTGGTTTTTTGGTTAATTTTCTGTCTGTATCATTTAAAATACACCCATGATAAAAATTATAGACCCTTCATTTCTTTGTGTGTGGGAAAACTTACAAAATCTGCAGGGGATCAAATAATTATTTTCCTCACAGTACTTTTTAAGTTTGAATGTACTTAGTGATGCTGGGAGGAAAAAGAAAGAACGTCTTCAGCAGATTGTTTAGGAACTACACTCATATGGAGCCATGTGGGCTTATTTTGCAGGAGATTACACAAAAACTCTGATTAAACTAAGCTGAATAAATTTTCTAATTTAATTACAATTGCAGTGTTTACTGGACTCAGTAAAGCTCACAAGCAGCTCATTGAAATGCATTTACTTGTTGCCTGGAATAGTTTTTTTTCAGAATTCACTATACAATACACTAGTTTCTTTTCCTGTTACAAAAGTGGTAGAAATTATAACGGCACCTTAACCACTTCCTGACCGGCCGTTGCATATAAACGGCCGGACGGTGGCACTGCAGGGTTGGGTGGCCGTTTATAAACTGCCTCCCCGCACCCTGCTTGTCGCGCTCCCTGGGAGCGCGCAGCACCGCGATCCGGTGCCCGCTGTGTCCTCTGGACACAGTGAAAACACAGATCGTCGGATGGGACCTCTGTACGAGGTCCCGATCATGTGATCACTGATTGGCCAATCAGTGATCACATGCAAAGTAGTAAGCAAAATGTCACTTGTGACATCATTGCTTACTACGTGTGAAATCTGTGAATGATCACAGAGGTCACATGGTAAAAGGCTATTCACAACAGCCTTGTACCATGTGACAAGCTGTAACCAATCACAGCTCACTCAGTACTTCTCAATGAGTGCAAGAATGCAGCCAGAGAGAAAGAGAAATGATTGCTTTTACATCCTATATGGGTGTAAAAGCAATCAGTGTAAAAAAAAAAAAAAATCTTCATCACCCCCACAAGTAGTACAGTGTCACCATGGTGACACTGTACTGCTAGGGTGACAGTATGTAAAAAAAAAAAAAATAATAAATAATAATATAAAAAAATAAAATAAAAATGTAAAAAAAAAAGTTTAAAAATTATAATTTTTGGTTATAAACTAATTTGGATCTTTTTTTTTTTTTTTTTTTACTAAAAAGATAACGGAATAAATTTTGGCCAAGATTTATGATGAAATATTATTTATTTGCAAAATTTTATTAAAAAAAACACTTTTTTTTTTTCAAAATTTTTGGAATTTTTCATTTACATAGCAAAAAAATAAAAATCCCAGTGGTGAATAAATACCACCAAAATAAAGCTTTATCTGTCTCAAAAAATGGTAAAAAATTAATTTGGGTACAGTGTTGCATGACCGCGTAATTGTCATTCAAAGTGTGATAGTGCTGAAAGCTGAAAATTGCCCTGATCAGGAAGGGGGTAAAAGTGTCCGGTCTGGAAGTGGTTAACATGTAATGGCAGTCAGTCAGCAGGGTGTAGTACACTGTAAAACATATACAATATATATACGTACATGAGAATCCAAAAATCTGATTTTTAAATAGTGATAAGAAATTGCCTAGCAAGAATGGAGAAATATGGAAATATGCACAAATAAAGAAAATTAATATAAAGTACATTTTGCATTACAAGGAAGTAATAAGCATTCATTAAAAGCACACCACCATTTTCCTTTAAAGGGTATGTTTTGCTTTATTTTATTTGGTGGTATCCGGTGGACACAGCAGTCAAGGCGGGGGCGCACTGTGTGCCTGCGCTCGTGCACAGCACCCCCCTGTGTTAATACAGGCAGAGCAAAGTACCCGTACGTCGCTTTGCCTGTAGCTGCCGCCCGTCCACAGTAAAAGTACTGTTGGCGGTCGGGGGAAGTGGTTAATAATAAGTGTTCACTAACAGTTTTCTCTTAAAACTGATGCAAAGTCCCACATGCTGTCATACAATAGCCTTTAGCTCTAGTATAAACATAACTTGTAAACATAAAAAATGTAAAGTGATTTTAAAGCCTTACATATACCCAGCAAAGTAACTGGCTTCAGGTGATACACAGAAATGAAACAGATTCTCCTAAATAAGTTGTACCTGTTTATCTGCTGTATCTCTTCTCTACATCCCTTCAAAGTGCTGAATTTATCAAATGTGTCTGAGAGTTCAGAAAAAAGGGGGCGGAGAGCTAAAATTACACTGTGCAGAGCGCAGTGAGGAGAGCACTCAGAGCTGATTGGAGGGAAGAGATGCACCCCCCTCTAAACAACAAACAGGAACAGAGCTGAGACTGTCAATCTGCTGGTGGTCCCTCCCCTGTCACCATTTTTCTCTTGCTACCAGGAAAACTTGTCAGAAGTGATTCATGCTGCTAACAGAGGAACAAAGCAGCACACAAGAAGTGACACTTAGTGCTCTTAATTGAGACAAGTACACACTATAGAAGGATATGCTTTGTTCATATTTCACGTCTGATGTTTACAACCACTTTAACTAAAACTAAAACTGACCAAATAAAATACATATATATTATTTTATATCCCTTTATTTTTTAGTCCAATCATTTTGTATCTTTATGGTGCTGTTACATAGTTAGATATCCCTGTAAAAATAACAGGTAAGATACAAATGAAACAAAGAGAAATGATCACAGCAGCTATTTTTAGATCACGCTTACAATAGTAATCACTGTTGACCCATGAAGAATGAATGTAAAAGTCGTACTGATAACACTTCTGTAATGTTCATTGAAGGATTGCTTTTTCTCTTTAACAGTTGTACTCTCTCTTCGTCTCTGGGTAAGTGATATGATGGACCTCTCTTATAATCTGGAAAGCCAACTGAAAATGAAGCTGCCTTGCAATATAATACTTCCACTTGAGATCTAAAAGAAACGAATGCTGTATAAAGCCTCCAATCTTCTTAGAAAGATGTATTGGAACTGCAGTGTAATCACAGCCGGATCTAATGTGAGGCCACCAAAGCCACAGCAGAATTTATGAGTGTGACATAAGTTCAGAAGCTTGTTCCCAGAAATAATAGCTTAAGGTCTTGGTACAATCACCAAAAGGCACAGCAGAATATGTTGAAGCAGTGGAGACCAAATAGGGCC